AAAAAAAAAAAAAAAAGTTGAAAAAAAAAATAGACTTGGAAATGTTTTTTAAATACGGCTTACAATCACGAGAAAAATCACGAAGTCAAACTCAACTTGGTTAGTGGCCACTTTTGCCTCCTGGCGCTCTGGCGAGGCAGATGGGCCGTTTCTTCTGCGTTCGCCGCCGTGGTAGCACGCCGCCGCCAGGCCCCAGAGCCAGATCTCCCAGATTAATCTCTGCCTTGATGGTTTTTCTGTTGTTGTTCAAACGAAACTCATATCCTAGGGAAAAAACCCTCTCAATAACCTGACTCAAAAGAAAAAAAATACATAATGAAAGTTATAAAGTCCTCCAGCCTCCAGGACGCCGGAACGGGACCTGCCAGAACCTCTGGGAGCCACTGCAGCCAGCAGTGGGGACGCCAGCGGGCGAGCTAGGAGTCGGCGAGCTGGGCCTCCGGCTTCATAAGAACAGCAGCAGAAGGGGGCAAGTCACACGCCCGAAAGCATCAAAACCAGTGGGGGTGGAGGCTGTCGAGAGAATTACACAGGCAGAAGTTGGTTGTTTGAAAGGACTGTTGTGGCTTCTGGGCACAGCTTGGTCAGCTGAGTGTCCGACTCTTGATTTCAGCTCGGGTCCTGGTCCCAGGGGCGTGGGATCGAGCCCCGCATCGGACTCCGTGCTGAGCGTGGAACCTGCTTGAAATTCCCCCCCATCTCTCTCTCTTGCTCTCTCTCTCGCTCTCTTCCCCTCTCTCAGCTCCTCCATCCCGCTTGCGCTCTCTCTATAATAAAATTTTAAAAAGGAAAAACGGATTGTTAAAGCTGGCATCGTGTGACAGTGGAGTCCAGGAAAAGGGAAGGAGCCGTAAACTGTTATGGATGCAGAGGGAAGGTGACAGCTGGTCGGAGGAGGAAAAGACAGCGCACCGAGCCAGTGGATGTGAGCGCGTACGAGGCGGGTTTTAGGAGAAAGGGCAGGTGGTGAAGCCAGCACGAGAGGGCGCCGCCCAAAGACCCTGTCACTGCTGCACAGAGTGTGTCCCCAAAGAATTCAAGTCAGGTAGTGTGAGTTCAAGAAACAGAAAATTCTAGTCCTGTGTGGACTCAGACACTGGAAAGAAGAACCGGCTCACCTTTTATGAGCTAGTAGAGCCGTGACGTCAGCGCCACAGCCAGCGCCGCCTGCTCCCGGACGGAATAGCGACAGGCCGCGTCCAGCGCGGCGGGGAAACGTCGTGGAGCATGACCAGACTGGGTTGTTTCAGGAAGGCCAGTGTGGCTTAAAACGGCTATCATTTCTCACACTAACAGATATTATTATCCTAACAGCTGCAGAAATATTTGCTTAAATCCAACATCCGCAAATAAGGAATACAATAGAATTTTCTAAAGCCGATGCAGAATATCTCCCCAAACCGTAGCAGC